ACAGCCTAGACAAAGTTCCCAGGCCATAGTTTAAGGAGGAGGAACCCAGGTAGAATTTAGCAATCTGTGAGTTGAGATGATGGGACTAGGAGTCAGAGAAGGCCAAGGCAGCTAGAATTCTGAGGGCAGATTATCTGAGAAGAAAGGGCTGAACACAGAGAGAACTCTTGAGATCTGAAGAGGGTCCCTCTTTATTGTTCAGCAGAGCACTGGTTGGTGCATGCATCTGAGAAAAGTATCAGAGGTGGGATTAAAAAAGACACCAGAAAAGATATAAGGTCATAATACCCAGAGATCACACACAGAGGCAGATAGAGTGCCTATTCCAACAGTCAAAGTAGAAAACCTCATAATAAATGGGACATTTGATAGAGTACCAATAAAGGCTTTGTTTCAATAGTAAGTAAAAATTAATCCTGGACTAAATGTTGATGGGTTCTGCCTAATAAGGCTTTTAAGGAGTACCTGAAATGATTAAGCTGTTTCCAGGTAACTTAACTGAATTGCAAAGCAAAGCTAAAGAATATTTATAGAGAAAAATGGTGGACTAGGAAACTCCAAGCCCCTGTTCTTCTATGGAAACACCGAAAAATAACCAGAAACTGACAACTACAATAACCTTATAAAAATCTCTGGAAAAGAGTCAAAGGTCTATAGCAACCAAGTGAATATTCAATTAATAAAAAGTCACATTCAAAACAGTAGACTATTTCATGATGTTTTTACTCACTACTGCCCTGCCCCCTCCCCAGTGTGCTGTAGTTTTGGTCTAGAGGAAGTAGCAGCCCAACCCCCAGTTCCCTCCCTTGAAACAAAGGGAGCAGAGCAGACCTTATTTGAAAGTTATAACCAGCTTGGGGCTGCCTAAGGACGGGTCTCTGTATCCCCTAATTCAGACCTTAGGCAGAGAGAAGTGGTGGATGCTGCCCATGAAAGTTACAAGGGATCTATAGACTCAGGAGGTCTCCTGGGTCTATAGATCATGGGTAGAGACATAAAATAGACCATTGAAGGCCCCAAGGAGAGTCTGAGATGAGATTCTTTGGGAGGCTGAGACATTCAAAAGCAGCCATGTGTATGGGAGAATTGAAAAAGCCATAAATAGGCCTAGCCAAGACACCTGTTTAGAAGAAACCTGAGAAGACCTTAAACTTTTCCCTTGAGCTGATCCCTAGGCTCAGAGCGTGCTCAACTAATTGGAGGACTGCCGCAGCATAGAGCCAGTCTGCAAAGACTGAGTGAGATGATTGCTTTTACAAATGCCCAATCTTCTAAAAAAAATCACAAGGGATGTAAAGAAACAGGAGATCACGGCCCATTTAAAGGAAGAAAATAAACCCTCAGAAACTGTCCCTGAGGAAGAATAGGCATTAGACTTACTAAACAAAGACATTAGACCAACTCTGCGAAATATGTTCCAATAACCAAAGGAAACAAAGAAATAAATAAAATAAGAAACATCAGGTATGAACAAAATGAGAATGTCAACAAAGAAATAGAAATTATAAAAAGCAACTGAATAGAAATTCTGGGAAATACATAAGTGAATGGAAAGATTACTAGAAGGAGATTTGTGTAAGCAGAAGAAATAACCGGTAGGCTTAAAGATAGGACATTTGAAATGATCAAGTCTGAGGAGTAAAAGAGAAAAGGACTACTTTTCCCCTAAGATCATTAACAAGGCAGATATGTCTGCTCTCACCATTTCTATTCAACATTATACTGTATGTTCTAGTCAGTGCAATAAGGTAACAAAGAGAAATAAAAGGCATTCAGATTGGAAAGAAGATGTAAAATTGTCAGATAACATGTCAGACAACATTATCATTAATTTGGAAAATACTAAAGAATTTACAAAAAATAGCTACAACCAACAAGTGAAGTTAGTAAGATTGCAGCATATAAGATAAATATTCAAATAATTTCTCTTTCTATATACTAGCAACAAACATTAGAAATTAAAATTAAAAAGCAGTATCATTTAGAATAGCATCATAAAATTTGAAATAGGGGTTTATTCACAAAATATGTACAAAAGTTGCACAAAAAAACTATAGAACATTTCTGAGAGAAATTAGACACACCCTAAAAATGGAGAGATGTACCATATCCATGGACCAAAAGACAATATTGTTATGTTGGAGAGGATGTGGAGAAAAGCGAACCCTCCTGTACTATTGGTGGGAATGTAAATTGGTGCAGCTACTGTGGATAACAGTATGGAAATTTCTCAAAAAACTAAAAATGGAACCTACCATGTGACCCAGCAATTCCACTTTGGAGTATCTATCTGAAATAAACAGAAACACTAATTTGAAAAGATACATATAACCCCAGTGTTCATAGCAGTGTTATTTATAATTGCTAAGGTAAGGAAATGGTCTAAGTATCCATCACCAGATGAATGGATATAGAAGATGAAATACTACTCAGTCATAAAAAGAATGAAAATTTGCCATTTGCAGCAACATGGATGGACTTGGTGGGCATTATGCTAAGTGAAATAAGTCAGATAGAGAGCGACAAATACTGTATGATATAACTTATAAGAAGAGTCTAAAAAATACAACAGACTAGTGAATAAAACAAAAAAGCAGACTCAGAGATGTAGAGAACAAACTAGTGGTTGCTGGTGTGGCAGGTGGAGGGGGAGGGTCAATATAGGAGTAGAGGACTCTCAGAAAGGTTATTATGGGATTATATGAAGTCATGTGTGAAACTTTGGAAAATTGTAAAGCACTATAGAATTTAAAGAATCTTACATTCAATAAAAAAAGTAAAAAAAAATCAAAAGACAGTATTGTTAAGATGTCAAGTCACTCATAGGAATTTTCCCTACATATATACCTATATATGTGTATAAAGATTTATATATATAAGGTTTTATTCAGAGCAGAAGACTATACATAACTGAGTATCCCTGAATAGAGAATTGAAGATGAGTTGTGTTATAGTCACAGCCATTTTTAAAAATGGTATGCACAAGATGTATTCAATTACTAATGAAATAAGAGAGAAAACTGCCTATACTGTACATCCATTTGTAAAGAAAAACATAAAAATCCATTTATTTTTGGCTCAGTTACACTAGTTTGGAAAGATACACAGGAATCTGATAGAAATGACTTTCTCAAGGAAATAAAAATGGGAGATGAAAGACAGGTTGAGGAGACATATTTACTACATACATTATTCTGCCTATTGAATTTTGTACCATGTATGTATGCCTACTTAAAAAAATAATTTTGGTGATTGAAATCAATTAAGTGCATCAGTCCTTCATCAAGCAGCCTACTTCTGTGCCTCCAATCTTTCCCCAGAAGTCCTCCCCAATCTACTTGCCTACACCTCTGTTAGAGATGGATGACATTTCTTGCTGATAAATGCACTTGTGGCCCATTCCTCAGTGTTCTGCATTTGTTGGTTAATCTCTCTCCCACCTGGAACATACTCCTTTCTCCCACAGCCTGCACTTATAGACCCAAGTCCAGTGTCACTCTACCCAGGAGCCCTCTCTCACCACCTTGATCCTCACTATGCTTTCTTTCCTCTGAAATGGGATGTTTGTGACCTGAGCCTCACAAATGAATATAGGATTCCATTTGTTTTGGATGGTTGGTTCTTGTTTTGTGTGAATTAGTCTTATCTTGGAAACTGGATTGTCTTGAGAACAGAAAGGCAACATGACTCAAATGACTTTGTACTCTTGACATTGCCTGGGTTAAGACTGAGCATAGATTGAGGGTCACCATGCCAGATGAGTGGAAGACTGGGTGCTGTAGGAAGGACCAAGGATTTTGAGCTTAAGGATTTCTGGCTGTGAGACCACTGTCACCAGGGAAAGACTTTTCTCAAGGAAATTCAGAAATCTTAGAGTGTTAGAGAAATGTGACAATATCCACAGAGGTAAGGCAGGTAACATAAATGTGTAAATAAATGGGCAGAGTATAGGAGCCCTGGTGATTAATTAGAAAACAACTGGCTTGCTTAAACTTTTTTTAAAAATCCAAGTTAATAAAAACAATAAAACAAGCAAATAAAAAAACTTCCTTTTTTCCAAACAGCAAACATCCAGAGTAGATGAGTAGATGTAACCACAATCAGCAACTACTTTATGACCTTAAGTTAGAAGTGCCCACTAACCCATCTCTGCAGGTACTCACCTCCATGAGCAGACAGAATTCTGTAACATGGTAAAAACAGCTCTAGAAAACCACCTCTTAAAAGAGCTCCATACAAAAGTCTCATTAGTGTGTCTTGGTGGAAGGCAGTGTTTATAATCTCTTTTCACCCATCTGCAAGCTTAAGGGCACATGGTCTGTGAGGCATTCCTTCCTGACTCCCATAGTGTCATTTAAAGATGCTACCACTTTAGACTCCTTAAAAAACTAAAAATAGACTTACCATATGATCCAACAGTGCCATTCCTGGGCTTATATCCAGAGGGAACTCTAACTCAAAAAGATACATGTACCCCAGTGTTCACGCAGCACTATTCACAATAGCCAAGACATAGAAATAACCTAAATGTCCATTAACAGATGATTGGATAAAGGAGTTGTGGTATAGTTATACAATGGAATACTACTCAGCCATAAAAAAGAATAAAACAATGCCATTTGCAGCAATATAGGTGAACTGGAGATCAAAATTCTAAGTGAAGTTAGAAAGAGAAAGAAAAGTACTATATCACTTATGTGTGGAATCTAAAAAAAAACACAAATGAACTTATTTACAGAACAGAAACAAACTCACAGACACAGAAAACAAAATTATGGTTACCAGAGGGGAAGGGGAGAAAGGGATAAATTGGGAGTTCAAGATTTTCAGATAGTAACTACTATATATAAAACTGATTAACAATAAGCTTATACTGTATAGAACAGGGAACTATAGTCAATATCTTATAGTAACCTATAATGAAAAAGAATATGAAAAGGAATATATGTATGTGTATGTATGACTGAAACACTATGCTATACACCAGAAATGATGCAACATTGTGAACTGACTACAATAAAAAAAAAAGATGATACCACCTTGGCCTTTCCCTGCCACATCAGCCATGGCCCCCTTTATGCACCTCTGATTTCCCATCACCCATTGCCTGTAATATTGAAGCACTCCATTCTCAAGCCATAACCAGACTCTGCCATCCCTAAACTTGTGTGTGCTTCTCGGATATATATTCCAGGTGGGGGAGTTGATAGAGGTTCCTCTGCCCCAGCCATTCTTCCTCAAAAGGTACCCTGTGTCCCTAAACACTCAGTTTTCTAGGGATGAGTGACTAGAGATAGCTGTTGTGAAGAGCCAAGCCATCAGGCTGGTGGAGGGTGTGGAGAGTGAAGACAAAGTGGGAGCACAGACACTCCCTGTTAGTGGCATCTTCAGTCCTTACAGACAACCAGACATCCTCATCTACAGACTGGATCACCACATGAGTTTCCCTAGACAGATGGAGGTCTTTGACACCACCTCTTATGAAACAGGAGGGCTTTGTGATGCAGTCTGCTGGCCTGGTTCCGTCATCTGTGAGGCGGAGACAACAAGCATTGGGAGTCATTAGGCACCAGAACCTTGAATGCCTACATAGAGGGATGGTTGGTCTCCTTGTGCTAATAAGGTTTAGACCATGCTGAGTCCAACTTTTGTTCTGTGGGATTTGGAATATCCCTTATATACCTATGGCTCCATCTTCATTATTATCCTAATTATCTGGCAAGTGAAAAAGAATTACCATGGATTAACGTTGGAACCTAAAAGGAGCTGCTGTCGGGTAGGGAAATACTATGACCACGACTCAACTAATTAAGCCTCAGTGTCTCTACTTTTATCCTTCCCTTCCCCTTCTCTCTCTCTCTCTCTCTCTCTAAATATATGTGTATATGTATATATATATATTTTTCTTTTTTTAAACCACCCATTAGTTACTCTTACATGGTATTTCTCTTCTCAGAGTCTAGAATAAGTTCTTATTGGATCATCTTTGCAGTGTATTCTAATTGAAAAATCAAGAACATCTCTTTCTGGCTTGGGTTGAAACCTAGATCACTGGATCTCAGACCTTCCATCATGTGAGATTTTTCTGGTTTGTGATCCATTAAGACATTTGTAAGAAGAAGTCCTTTGGTTATTAGAACTACCCACCTTTTATTCTGTTTTACTCTTTCTCTTGTTTCATAAGCCTGATGTGGAACTTCTCTTAGGAAATAAATGGGAGGTATACAAAGTTAGGAAAGTAAAAACAAAAATACAGATAAATAAAAAGGAATGGGGAAATTTATATTAGCCTTGTCTCATTTTGGACATGAAAAAAAATGGTGTCCCAGCTTGATATTCTAACTCTTTTATCTTTAAGCGTCACTGGAAAGTCAGACAAAGGGCTAAAGATGCAGCATCAAAAGGTAAGGTCCCAGGCTGTACTCTGACTTCCCTCCACAGTGGACCAGATTCCCATGGACCCTGAAGTTCCTTTATGATCCCTGGTGCCAGGAGCCAGGTGCTCTAACCACTGGAGGCTCCAATTCCCGAAGTTGACAAATTCTCCCAGAAGATGTGTTTGGGTGGGAAATCAGAACCTGGGAATATTCCAAAATTCTCCACCTTACCCCTGGGAGTGAAGAATGAGGAATTGGGGGAGAAGTCCTTAACTGTGTCATTTACTAGTTGTCTGACTCTGTTGAAGTCACTTTATCTCTCAGTCTTGCTACCATGAGATGGGCATCTGATGATCCTGCCTCACTCACAGTGTGGTTGTGAAGGTCAAATGAGGTCAGGCCCAGGACAGCACATCATGCCTGGCTAAGCTGTACACAGGCGTGCCTTAGAGCACTATGGTGGGGTTTGCAGTCTTCTCTCCTTCAAAGGCCTTGAGCTTCCTGTAGGATGGGCCTGAATCCTCTCCCGTTCCATATAACACTGTCTCCTGGTCTCTCAGCAAGGAGACTTTCCTGGAAAGAAGCTGAGAAGCCGTGGGAGCTGCTCTCTGTCATGAGAAGGTGATCTCTTGCTCTTTTCAGTCTCCTAAGTTTGGACCTGGCCTGTGCTGATTTCTCTCCTTGGCCTGGGGCAGGTCTAGGGAGAAGGATAATGGCTGGGAGGTGAGCCTGGAGCACTGGTTGAGAGGGTGGCCAGAGGGGAAGTTGGGGTTAAATGGCTCAGGAGAGAGGAGTCTTCCATTTCTTATCTAAGCTGGGCTCACAGTGGTCCTAGAAGTCAAGATTTGACTAGTGCAGGATATAACTACATGGGTTTGCACTCAACCACAAGACAAGTTATCCAGTTAGAAGAATGGATAATTAAGTGCATAAATAAGTCATCATTTTCATATTGTCTTTACAACTCTTTTCAAGGGCAGACCCCTGGACCCTGCTGACATTACCTCCTCTGGTTCTGTCTTCAGGGAGGCCAGTTCCTGGGACAGTCCTCAGGCAGCAGCTTGTCATATCATCCCCTTCTTAAGATCTCTAGAGAATGGGCATGGGCTCCCAAGAGACACTGTGCACACTCTGTAA